GACGGTGGGGATGGCGGCGAGGAAGAGAGGGGAGATGCTGCGGAGGATGCTGGTGGTAAGGGGACTGCTGGGATGGCGGAGGAGGAGGATGGTTGTGGGACGAGGGTTGTTGGTTGGGATCCTGGTTGTGTGAGGAAGGGTGTTACGGCTGGTGCGTCTGCGGCGGCGAGGGCTGTTGTGCCGAGGATGGCGAGGAGGGTGTTGATGCGCATTGTGAGGCTGTTAGTGAGGGTTTGGGTGGTATCTTGTGTGGTGTCTTGGGTGAGGTTTGCGAGTATGGACGTCTGCTGTCTACAGTCTACGCGTGTACCGTGTGACGGGCTTAGAACTTGGGAGAACCAGAGGGTGAGCAGCCAGGAGGAAGAGAACATCTGACTTTGCAAAACGGCGGACCGTTGGTTGTTGATGTATGAAATTGACATGGCTGTCGTCTGGAATGCGGTCAGATGGGTTGTCTTGGTGCCTCATCTATCCCGAATTCCAGTCCGCGGTGGGACAACCACCACCGCCACGACAGCCTGCCACTTTTGGGGTTCGGGGACACACGGGAACACCAACAAGTGGGAATACGGGGTACAGTTGTCTCCACGAACATTCCCCCGCAAGGATGGGCTGAGCCTTTGAGGACTGGTTGAGTTAGCCTCGTGTCTCAGTTGCGCCTGTGCCCAAAGGGAGGATTGACATGACACTTCCAGTTTGGGAGCCATCACAACATTGACTGTGACAGATATGGGTTAGGAGAGTGACGCCGGATATAAATCTCGCGACACTTGATTGTGCTTCGCACGTATCGGACTGTGATAGATGTGGGATGCCGTGCGACGAGGTCTCTTGGGAAGATCGCTCCTCTTGCAGTGATGATGGCGGTTGTTTTCAGTGGAGGGTTACTCCTCACGAGGTGAATCGAGCTGCCAAGATTCATTCAGCTGGCCGGATGTATCGAGACCTCGGTACGATTCGCTGCGAAGGTTTGCCGATCTGTGCATCGCGGAATGGCACGGTAGTTGTGGCTGGCGAGGAGGCGGCGGCGTCTTCGGACGGGTTGTAAATGACCTTGGCCAGTCGAACAGCTAGCTGTGGAGGTGCTAGTAAGATGTGATGAGTCTGTCACGACCAGATATTCGAAGGATCTTGGATGGCCGGATAATAAGAAGGCTGGGAATAGTTGAGCTTGGCTCGTGTCACCTTTAATTCGTGAATTCCAGTCGATGGTCGGCCTGCCTCCGTCCGCCGATCGGCCCCGCTTCTCCGTGTCGGGTCCGTCCCATCTCCTACCGATCCGTGCCGACAGGAATGCAGTCGTGAGACGACACCACAGCTCATTTGAGAGAATTGATACTGACCTTGGATGTATTCGGGGGGAATTCAATACTCCTGGTCTTCTTGCTCTTCAACTAATGCCAGAGCGACCCATATGAGGACATGAAGGCTGACGACGTCGACTACCATGTTCCCGCGTCGCCGGTCGGACGTGTCCAATCTCTTGCCGACTTGGGCCGAAGATGCCAATATCAACCACAAAAGCCACATGATAATTGCTGTATATGTCGTTCCATTTGTTGCAAGTCCATAAACAATTAATGCACAGAAGTAAGTAGTGCCCTGCCGTTAAAAGGTGTTTGGGCAACCCTGTAGTCTTCGAACCCCGTAAATTCTTCTCTTCTGCCTATCCATAACAGTAACCTAGAAACTATAAACTCTAGCTTTTCGTCGTCCTTGATATACGATGGTTTCTAACTATCAAGGTTGACAAGGGCAGTATTTAAACTCGCATCTGACAAGCAGTAACTTGCTTAATCTCACACTTTCACACGTAAACTTGACGAAACAAGTCAAGACGTCAAATTCGACAACATATCCGTTTATTGTCTACGGCAGGTTCACTTCTCAAGGCATTTTCCTTTTCCGTATTTCATTCAGTCGATGTTTTCATTGCCTAACCGCTGAACCTTTAGTACCTTCTTGACATCCCAAATGACGGTGCCGATTCAGCCGGTTCTGACGCCGGGCTCCAAGTCTCATACCACTATACCGCCACATGTAGCGACTTGGGGTTCTCTACCATGGGAACTGCGGCAGATGATAATTCAAACTATTGCACGACAAACTTCTGGTTGGGGCGCCTGCGCTTCCGTTTGTAAGGAGTGGCAGGCCATACTAGAGAAGGAAAGCTTCCGCCAGCTGAAGTTACAAGTTTCCTGTTTAGATGATATAGAAGCTATGATTAGTGTAAAACAAGCACAGCTTGTTAGACAAATCTGGCTAAATATCGAGCTAAAGCCATATACATGTCGAAGTTGTCAGACCACTGAAAGTTATTCATGGGCTTGTGAAGATGGCCGCGTGGCTAGACGAGCAATTACGAAGCTTTTTTCGATCTTGTCTCAATGGCCAGTGGTAGAGGGAGCCGAGCTGACCCTGGAGTTGAGCATCCAGTCTCCTAGTGATAAGGAGCATTGCTTTAAGAACCTCTATTTTGGAGGTGTTGGCGAGGATGAGGATTTGAAATTCGACCGGCCTGGTCATCGGTTACCCCACCTCGACTCAAAGCATTCATTTCACGACTCTCAACATGGCTGGATGAATGGACGTCAGGTCGATGCCCCCAATGGAAATTCTTTTTCACGAATATTTCAGCCTCTCCATCTCACATTCAAGGAAGGCCTCCCTCAAGTCAAAGCGGTAACACGATTTGTACTTCGCCGACAATGTCGAAGATGGATTGAACCTCAAGTGATAGGGTTTCTATTCGATAAACTTCCTCGATTACAATCATTAATCTATGAGCCATGGCAAAGTTTGGATAAGATGGCACAAGATTTTATTTGGGATTCCGGTAAGATATAGTATTTGACTATATATATTATACCTACTAACGACTCACGCTACAGAATACCTAAAGCTTATCGAATCCCATTTACCAAAAGCACTGAAGAAAGTATCAGTGTTTGAAGAGACTAATGAAGAATACATTACCTCGTTTCGACCTATCTCACCAATCACTGCACCTGATATAATCCGGATCACATCACCGACGGTCAGTGCTGCTTTTGCCAAGAGGAGTCTTAGTCTCGAGCAGCTCTCCGTTACGTTTTTGATTGAAGCTTCGGACTTCTTCCGGTCACGTCAACAAGACTGGGTTTGGAGCCACATGAGATTCCTAACTCTTACATCAAGGATACTTACCCAAACAGAGAATCTCAAGATAGAGAATCTCTTAAGAAATGCTGCTACAACTGCACTTTCAATTCCACACCTACATACAATGGTAATATGGAATGGTCGGAAGGGTGAAGCTTTCAAGTTCTTCTACCACGCAAAGTCTAGTTATACTTGTATTGGCTGGCAAGGAACATGGGATTGGAAGCTGGAACCTAGCGTGATACGCAATTGGCAGAGGGTTGCCGATCAAAATACTAGGCATGACCTCAAAATCATTCCAGAGCCTCTCATTACTACAAGCATCGACTCTCATGCTCATGCCATCGAGCTCCTGGACTTGCCCTCGGAGGTTGTTCATCCAGTATCTTTATTACAGATGCAAAGAGAAGCTGAATCGAGTTGGTATAAGACCCAGACATAGCTAGGCTGAATACTAGGTGATATCTCTCATGAGTTAATGAAGTGATTTGACGTTCAACTTTAATGTACTGATTAGGGCGCCTTTCTAAATTCAGTATCTTCTGCTTTCGTATTGGGCCGAAAGGGAACTCTTCAATCCCACTTCCACCCTGCTCACCCTGCTCACCCTCACCCCAGTTGTGAAGTCTGCGGGTTAAAGCAGCCACTTGAAGGTGAGCGACAGGTGATACGATCGCCATTCAAAAATCAAGTGAGACGCCACTACAGCCATGTAGGGGCCGTCCGACGACGCAGGCCGCTGCTTTTCCGTCCATATCGCATCCATTCGGTTTGCTTGCCCGGGCCGAGAGGTGCACACCACCCAGGCCGAAGACTCTGCGATATCTCGAGCATCTTTGCTCGAACATTCCTAGATTTTGGGACCTAGGCTTAGTCCTTTATTCTGCCTCTCAGCCACTGTCATAATCATTCAGGCAATTGTGGACTTGGTCTGGCGAAAGAGGCCACCGCGACGCCGTGTCGGATCCGTCTGATCCCCTACCCATTCGGGCCGAGAAACATCCCACGAACGAGTCCGACTGCTATCTCCGAGAACATGAATCCAGTATTAAAGTGTTTCAGACAGTCGTTGATATCTTATTGTTGCTTTCTACTTTCCAATCGTGCAGTTGGGGGCTCAAAGTCCGACGACACGGACGACTCCCGTCATTCCCCGCCGCCGCGACTCACTTCCGCAGCGGCCGAATTGCATGCGACGGACGCACAGATTCGTACGTCCTTGACCATAAGGTAAGTTACACATTAGCAGGACCCTCAGCAGTCATCGAAGTGAGCTCCGAGACGGAGATCAAGTTACCTCCCGGTCCTCTGTCACCGGCTATGAATACCTGCGCGCTGTGGAGTCGTCGGTGGTTCAGATCGCCGTCAAGTGTGATCTCGATGATGCTCTCACTCTGACCAAGGCTGAAAAGCCACGCCCCATATCCTCCGGACGGTGTCAGCGAGAGACATCTGTTGACACACGTTCTCACTCACCACCGTCCAAAGTCATCTGGTGTCCCTACGTCCTCTAAAGACTCCAACAATCTCAGAGTCTTTCCAGAGGCAGATCAGAGTAGGTGGCCCAAGACGGAAGGAGGTTGGTGGAAAGGCGCTAGCTTTGCCGCTTCATCCGAAGACGTGTGTTGGTCGTTGGCTGTTGGTTGTTGGCTGATGGGAAGCGACCGACTTTTCGTATCGGGCCCATCTTCCGACCTTGCCGTACAACGATGCGCCATTTCCTATTTAAGATAGTCGGCATACAGCCTGACAATATGCAAGAATATCACGTATTCTCTGATATCGTCCAAGCCCCGACACCCAAAACCTCCCGGAAAACCCCATATCAACCGAGTATGCTCTGCGCACCTCTCATAACCATGATCTTCAGCCCCTTCCGACCATGCGAGGGCACTCCAACCTTCCAAGACGAATACCGCGGCACCTACATCCCAAACTTCATCGAAACCTGGCACGGCCCGCAGATCGTGGCGCCGGATACCCCCTACGTCGCGGCGGCGGGCAAGAACAGCTTGCACTTCATCGACACCCGGTTCGAAGCCAGCGTCGCGGAGCACATAAAAACGCAAATCGAGTGGGCGACTGTGATGGCAGGGCCGGAGGAGGTCATCGCTATTGACGAGATGGAAGCGACGGCGGAAGTGAGGAATAGCTTGACGGGGGAGACGGTGTTTGTGTTTGATCCGGTGTATGCGAGGGTGCTTTTCGCGAGGGGTATTAACAGGAGGAATCCGGAGATTAAGCTGCCTGAGCTTGACTTTGCTGGGGACTGGTTGGTGAATTATGATAGTGGTCTGACGAAGATGGAGGATGTCTGATTATCGTTGCTGACTGCTGATCTAAGAGAGAGGGAGGACTGAATGTTTACTTCCAGGTCTGGCATTTCTTGTCGTTTGAATCCGTTTCACCAACTCAGTGATGATGATGATGATGATGATGATAAGGTAGTTGGACATTGCGTATGGACGCTGCTTGGGATACGGTTGAGGACTGACTCCACGCTAGGCATCACTTCTAGTTTTTCAAAGAGAACCACACTGATTCCCACTCATATCAGAACTGTAAATGGTTCAGACCTAGAAATCGATGTTGCCATCGTACCTAGCTATGAATCCATTTGGGTTCTAAGAACAGGCTATCTCGCCCTCCAAGGAACTTTGGACGTAGTCTCTCTTGGCGAAAGGTTTGAGTTGGACCTTTTGTACAGCTGAAGTCGAAGGATTGATCTTTTGTCTAGCTCGCAGTGGTAGAGTGGATAGCAACTAGGGATTTATGGTTGGCCGCCAAGACCGCCCACATGACACGCAGCTAGGCGGCAAAGTTCTCGTCCACAATAGACTCTGTTGATTGGGCGGCTTGAACATGAAATACCGGGGTAGTGATCTTATCTGATGATCAGTTGCGATGCGTGGGCATCGCGAGGCTGAAGGAGTGGGTCGGAAATATCATGAGATTGAATACAGTAGAGATTTGCAGAACTATGGGATGACTGTGTCTCTTGCGCCAAGAGACCGGCAATTTGGGAGCACTATTGAGCGTGCCAAGAGATATGCGTATTCCTTTGACTTGGAGGTGAGGAATTTTCGCCAGACCTTGGACTCGTGGACTGATTGTGATGTGACTGATCTTTTCGCTAGGCTTCGAATAATCGATGTGATGAATCGATGGGCAGAGCAAGTATAAGTATGAGGTTCAGTTCCGCTACAATCCGTCATTCTAACAACACCAGACTCAACGCACTCATCTCTCTTTTCACAACTAAGAACTCCCCAAGTATCGAGTCACCACCAACAATGCTCTTCACCAAGTCTCTCCTCTTCGTCACGGCCATGGTGGCCCCGTCGGTCATCGCTGCCTGCACGGGAGCACCGTTCCAGGGAACCTGCAATAACTGCGTTGTCGAGTGCCACGATAGTGAGTCTTTTTCTTAAAGACACACTTGAGACATGCGAGTTTCTAACGAAAGTGAAGCCTACAACGGGCCCGGGAGACAGGAGTCTCTGCAACGGGCCAGCTGCCAGTTTGCCTGCCTCGCGTTCTGTGACGACTGCGACTGAGTGATGGGCAACGATGTCTGCAGGATTCTATGTAGATGCTGGGTATCATGATTGAGAAGTTAACCAATGCCAAACATAATATGGGGCGACAGAGGCAGGAGTAAAATGTAGTCGGAACATGTATGGTATTGGGTTCGGTGTGAACAGGTCAGGGCGTAGAATCTAGCTCAAAGGCTCAAGTAAAGACTTAAACTGCATTCACTATCTCACCTTTTCCTAAGTGTAGTGTCTCACGGTTGTATTCCTACCTGTGATTAGGTGTATAAACCTAGTAGAGGGAGAACTTGTCAACGAAACTGAGGTTCCATCAACCCTCGAGCCAGAGTCCCGAGACTTGGAAGGCATACTCAATTTTAGCACCACAGCGTTTCTAGAGAGTTGCCGCAACGTATAATCCATCCCATATCTCTCCTCGTACCACCACTATCTGGGTGACTCTTTGTCTCAAGCCAGCTTGATGGTCCACCAGACTACGTTAGACATTGTATGGTTCATTAAACACCTTGCGCGCTCCGTGACTGGAAGGAATCTACAATGAGGGACAGGCGGTCATAAAGCGGGAGAAATGAATTGCTTTGCTACTGATGTTCAGCCATCAGAGCCTTGCCTGGTATCTGCGTGATATTGTCCCCATCCCAACGCCCGTAACTCCATCGCACTGCCTACAAAGCTTGAAGAAAATTGACCGCCCTCCGCCCCTCCAACTCTGCAGCCAGCTCCTATTTGTATGGTGTCTGACGAAGAGCCTTGACCCGTGCCTCAGGCTGCCCGTATACTGAAAACTTGGACTGTAGACTCGGACTGGAACTAGCGCTATGTGTCCGCGGATTGGGGGCGCCGACCCCCTGGCTCCGAAATTGTCCAGCATGGTTGATGTGAGCCTTAGGCGGGAGCACGCCCCTCGGCGTGCCGAGACTCGCTCCAGGGCTTGCATGGTATCCGTACGGTAGCCTAGGACTAACGTTGCCACCAGACGGAAATTGGGGGCTGTAGGTGCCGCTTTGCAGGAACTTTGGGCTCATATCGGCGAGGGAGAACTCGTCTACTTGCTGCGGGCGCCGAGCTGGTGGATGGGGCGGGGACGCGGCGGCCGAGTCTCTCAAAGAGAGGGACAGGTTCCGTTTCTGCCTATTCCGCCTCGAGAATCCCTTTGGCATAAAGGTGTCGTGAATCTTGCATTGAAACGTCTTGGTCGTCCCGAAGACGAGAAAGGCGACCAGGCTTGGTGTCACGCCGGCAACGTATCCCCTGATACTGGAACGTGCTCGTCTCACGCTGAGGTCGGGCTCCAAGTTGTCGGCGGTGTCGATGGTGTGGCTTGCCGCGGCGATGCGCGGTATCACGTTTGTGTACTCAAACACACTGAATATTCATGTCCAACTGTTAGCATTCATCCCAGCGTGAGGTTATAACATTCGTGTGCGCAGCCTTCCGGTCGGACGTGGTGTGACTGACCAGAGCACTGCGAAGGCGATCGACAGTCGGATCACCAACCAACTGTCATATGTGTTATTGGTGCCAGCACCGCTGTACGCTCGACTTCTTCCACCGCGGCTTGAGGCACTGCCCAGCCAGACGGACCGTGCCTTGACGCTGCCACCGCCGTTATTGCTGCTCGGTAGCGAAGAGTTCATGTCCGGGTTCCCGTAGAGCACGTTCCAACTTGTGAGGTTCCGCCGCGAGTGGACGTATTTCAAAAGGATCATGAGCAACAGTACAGCGCTTCCAAAAAGGCTCAGGACGAATTGTGTATTGGCAACAAACATATACACCAGGAACGACTTCTGGGCCGGCGGAGAGTGCATCAGGCCGACGGTGATACTGGTGAGAATGATGGGCAAGACTCTTCCGACAATGGAAATGGTGTGTGTTGTCCTCGGCGTTGTCGCGAACCATCCGTAGACACTAGCGGCCAGGGATAAGGCACTTTCTTCGTGTTAGAAACGCAATACCTCTTGTTGTTGTTTGGGGAGGGGGGGAGAGTTTCTCTTTGGCATCTGGCTTACAAGAAAAAGACAAATGTTGATGCAATGGTGAATCCAAAGATGCCTGTTGTTCCGGTCAATCAAGTCAGCGGCGCCAGTCACCAAGGCCGATAGGTCGCTCTTGGGCTATCTTAAGGAAACCCCCGACAAAAAGAGCATACACGTACGAACGTAGCTGAGGACGAGCTTGATGCCCTGGGAGCCCTTGTGGTATTGCACCTCCGCATTATCGGCGTTTTGTCTCGCATAGTAGAATTGTTCTGTCAAGATGTCTCGCCAGTAGGCGTAGTCGTAGAACTGCTGGCAAATACTCGTCGTCGTGATAATGAGAGTAGCGTAGGAGATGCAGGCAATATCTAAGAAGAATGTGTAAGATGATTTGCGACTGGCCGCCTGGTAATCCTGGAAGAGAATTCACTGGAGAGAGAAGATGGTCCGCAACTTACAACTTGTCCGGTCATTGTGCGTCCAAAGCAGCCATCCCAGTAGGATATTAGAGAAGAAGCAGATGAAGGAGTAGCATATCACCGCGACAGCTTCGGCATCGACAGCGGCCGGGAGTTGAAATACCATCACGACGGTCACTTGCGCCGCGACGTCATCCGTACATGGCGATTCCGCAAGAAACCAAAGCGCAAAGGACCGAGCTTCTTCGGTCTTTTGAGATTTCGTTCAGCTCAGACGAGGGGACACCACGTTTTTGATGCGCACCCAGCCGTCTCCCCGTCTCGCAATTCCGTGCACCCCCCCCCCCCCTCGCCGGAAGCTGCAGATGCAGTGCAGGGAATCTCAGCCCCGTGTGGGGAGGCTCTGTTGATGGTTTCTTTTCCAGTTCGCCATCTGATGCGGATATCTACACAGAATATGCTGTCGTATTGCGTGGGAAGATGACTCGCTCCCGACGAGGGGTCTCCTTTAGGACGCGTTCTCCATCTCCTCGAAACGAACCCCTGGTCAAAGCCTATCGCGTGGACCGACTGAGGAAGCACAAGGTTGCGCTGCTAGCCGGATAGGTAAACCGAGGTGGTGACACTGACTCGTCCGTCTACCAACGCTGCAACCATGCCTGAGAATTTTGCATATTAAAATAGCGTCTGTTATAGTGCCGAGTGAGCATGATATAATTGACAGCACGTGTTTTCTGGGTATCACTGGCATGTCTGAACCTGGTTGAAGTACCATGTCGTTGCATTCAAAGTCGCAACTTGAGACTACCGGATCGAACTCTCCATGCCCCATGGGATGACGAGACGATCAGACGCGACATTCCGATTCTGGATTCCTTCCTGCCGCGGGCGAATTCGAGACTATCGCACCTTCACAATAGGAGTCGCAAGTTGCAACACGCATCAAAGTCTTCTCATGCACTCTGTCAGGTCAAGGCCACGCGGGCGGTCGTAGGTCTCAAGGTTCAACAAGCTCGCGAATGGGTACATGTGGAGCGCGAAGTGGGTAACAGATCCAAAAGAATTGTGGATGATCGGTCTGGGACCTTCGTCCAACAGTCGGCGGCGGGCAACAGGCCCGGAGTCAAGAAAGTTCCGACCTGCTCACTCACAATTCCACCGACCGCACGTGGTTGGTTGCTGCTTCTTGAGAGTAGCATGATGGAGTATGTCCGACGTCAAGCCTTTGATGGGCTCCGTAAGACTTTGTTTTTACCTCTCTATTACTTACTTTGTCACCTATGGTTATCTTTTCTTGCTCATGAGCGGAACATGCGCCCATTGTGGCTGGCCCTTGTTCGCCCCTCGCGGTGTCCATGTTGAAGCTACCTACATACCATATCCTTAGCGATATCGACGAGGACTCATCATTGATACATAAATAAAGGCAGAGCATCTCGATGTCCTTTCCGAGGGTAAAATTTACTGATGACTGCTTAGTGTTATGTTTCCTTTTATGAGGTATTTTTTGATAGCAAACGTGACCACACCTGGATGTAGGGAAATTACAATTTTGATTGCTTCGCGCTGAACGAGCCTTGGACGAAGCGCTTGACCCTTCGCTGGGTGGTTATCGTCAGTTGCACTGTCAATTTAGATCGTCGTGCTGGAATAAGCTTCCTCGAGAACCTCAGTCAGAAAGGATGTGGTACACAAGAACCAGGTCAAATTGACTCTTGACTGCGCGCTTGTGTCATGAATCGCTAGTCGTCTGTGAAAGGTGGCTGTTGCTGATTCGCCTGAGTCCTTCCAGCTGAACTTGAGGCCCATGAAGCGACCGACATTATCAGTGATCGCCATCTCAGCTTTTCTATTTTGCGCTCAGCCACCGCCATTCCAGGGGTGAAGCGCGCGCCTGATGTCTTGGCGCTATGTCCCGCGAAGTTCTGTCCTACGACATGTATAGAAAGCTTCTAGCACTCGGCTGCCACTATCGGATGCTCTATGTCGGCCGTACATATCAATAGAAGTGTTTCTCACACAATCTTCAGCACATCAGCCCCGTCCTATTCCTTCACTCACCTGGACACAACATCGATTGAAAATGGGATTAACACTGCAAGTCGACACTAATGATGACAATGTCAGCCGCGAGGAAAACGATTGGCTGCAATATCAACAACAAGCCGATTCTGACAGTGACTCGGACGATTCTTTCTTTAATAGGAAATCAGATAACCCATTCATCCGAGCCGGCACTGTCGCCGTTAACTTGGCGAAGAAATGCGACACGTTCTTTGCCAAGATAGGGGTGCGAAAAGCTGAAATACACCGTGACCCCAAGACTGGGAATTGCATGACCTGTGGAGGTATGGACGAGGGGTTCTTCTCTCTTGTCACGGATATCGAAAAGAGGGCCGCAGCTGGGTGTCCGTCTTGCAGCATCATCTGCGCTGGTGTACGAGCATGTCTACCAAGGCACATTGCCACTAGCTCAAGAGTCTCTGTGATGGAGACCTGGAACTCAGGATGTGCTGGACGCCAGTTCATCCGAACGAAAAGAAGATCAGCGACGATGACAGGGGCCTACGGTGTCATCGTTGCCAGGAGCGACCATTTGGATCTTAGCAAGATCTTTGTCCCCTGGACGCAGTTACGAGAGCAAGTTCTTGCCGAACTTAACTTCTTCGGTACTCAAGGTGAGCCAGTCTTCCAGAGTAGAAAGTCTCCCTAGATCCTCTCTAATTCCGACGCAATAGAGGAACCCGCATCGTGGGACTCCATCGGCCTCGCTTACCACATCTCCGGAGACACATCTTCCAATGCAGCTTTTCGATGGTTTCAAGCTCGCCTGCAGCACTGTATTCCAGAGCACTCACTATGCAGGACAACAGATAATGGCAGGCGAATGCCAACCCGCGTTCTGGACCTAGGGCCTTTCGACGATCACGTCGAGGGTTCGCAAGAGACAACTGATTACGACATTCGACTTCACGAGACCCAAGGGATTTGCGATAGATATGTCTGCTTAAGCTACTGTTGGGGAGGCACCATAGATATCCGTTTGACCAAAGATCGATATCATTCCTACATGCACCGGATCACTTGGTCATCTTTGCCCGAAGGGTATCGCGACGCTGTCAGACTGACTCGCAAGCTGGGAATCCGCTACATCTGGATTGACTCGCTTTGTATCATCCAGGACGACAAGGACGATTGGAGGGCAGAGGCAGCTCATATGGCATCAGTCTTTCAAGGCGCCCACGTCACGATTTCGGGAACGAAATCCTCAAACCCTCACCAGAGCTACTTCGCCCATAGCGATAGCAAGTACGAAGCAAAGAGAGTAGAGCATCGGGATGACAAGGGAAAGATATGGCACGCAAACGTGCGACACACCGTTCCGCACTTCTTCTCATCCGACGCATCTGGTGAACCAAACTACAGCCCAGGTAACTTCCCTTTGCTGAACCGTGGCTGGGTATTCCAGGAGCGTCTACTGTCTCCCCGAATCCTACACCTTGGAGATGTAGAGATGGCTTGGGAGTGTAACGAGGTCTGCGCCTGCGAGTGTATGGGAGAGACCACGATATACGACACCGAACCAAGATGGGCGCATACCAAGGGTGCTCACGTACGAAACTTGTCATCTGCAACTCAGGCCAAGGAGCTGTACCCAGATTGGCGCAGTACGGTGCAGAATTACAAAAGAACGAGGCTCACTTATCAGGATGACATCCTCCCAGCCATTGCAGGCGTGGTAAAAAATATGCAGAGGTATAGAAAAGGCAGGTACCTGGCCGGGGTCTGGGAAGACAGCTTGCTTGACGATCTCGCCTGGCAGGCTACCCAAAGTGTTCTCCCTCGACCGGACGCTTGGACAGCTCCGACGTGGTCATGGGCATCTGTGACATCAAGAATCCACTATTCCAACCTACGTACGACATTGGCATCCAAGTTCATGGAAAAGGCGAATGCGAAAATGCAAAGAACAGTGGTCATTGAAGCTTCAACGGAGTCTGCGGGAGCAGATCCAACAATGGAGATTATCTCGGGCCACATAATTTTATTCGGGCCAATGATCACAGCACGCCTTGAGTATGATGAAGAAGGGGAAATCGATGCTCCTATACCGACCTATTTCGCTCTACACGGCAGCACGTTATTGGAAATAGCCCCTGACTACAATTTCTGGGCGCCGGGCAAACATTATGTGCCGCTTGGCGGCACCATTTATCTTTTGCACTTGTGCAGAGAGCCCGAACTTCGGAACAAGAACGGCATAGGCACTAAGAAAATGCCGACCAAAGTTTTTTCCCTCGTGCTTCGAAAGGTGGATGACGATGGAAACACTTTCACCGTCAGCAGTCCCAGCAAGAAAGGAAACCCTAAGGGCGATCATTCTTCAGTACATTCAGACCACGGGACGTATGAAAGAATTGGGATACTGATACTGTCCTGCGATGACGATAGGACAGAGGATTATGTAGTCGAAAATGGTAGAGATAGCGTGGTGAAGTTGATTTGACCGAATACTTTTCTTTTTTGTCAAAAGAACTTAGATTATTTATATTTGACCATTAGGTCAAGCTTTCTTATGTTATAGGAGAAAATTTTCATCAACTTTTGCTGGAGCATGTGATAATAAGCTCACTCGTCAATCGGCCTTGCATCGAATGGGTTCGGTACCGACGCATTGCAACTATGATACAATGACCTGAAAGCTAGACCAGACCCGTCAGGTACTATAATTGATACTGACAGCAAGATTGCTCAAAGTGATGCTCGCATGGAGACTCGCGCCCGTCATACTGATACCGGCTTCAGATTGACAACGGCGTTGTTCTCTTCTGTGGCAACGCTCTCGATTCGAAGTCATAGGCAGGCCGGAAGCCGTCTCTTCTATTCGGGAAGGTAAGGTAGATCTCCATTCTTCCTCGAATTCGCTAAAAGCGGAGCGAAAGGCTCTTGGTACAACAACATGTAAGCTCTAGGGCAAGAGATCTCATGATAAGCCTCTTGGACGGAAGAATTCGGAACAAGCCAAACTGGAGGCGTTCACAAGGTTCAAGCCCCTTGCTAGCAGACTCTTGGCCGATGCCAATTGACTTGGCGGGCTTGCAGAACCAAAAGAACATTTGTGTTATCAAAACCTCTCAGCCTAACTCAGCTAGCGCGGAAGCGAATGACAATACATTAGCAGTTGCGTGAAGTTGATCAAGAACTCTGGCTATCAAACATCGAGATTTCGATACCAACAAGAGATCTATCGTGAAAAACCGAACGTAAAGGTGCAGCCAGTCAAGTCCAGCAACCTGGGGAGGCTGCAAACTGCCTGTCCGAACATACACTTCTGTCGAAAATTGAGACAGGACAAGAAACAACCCAGTCCCTTTCCATATTTCAACACAAAATTATCATCCCATTAGCCTGTCTCAAGGCTTCGCTATTCGTTCTGGCATCGGAAATCTTGGATGAATGTTTAGCGACGCTACCTTCTTCGCGAGCCGGTCCAGTAGCCATTGCTGTTTCTGAATAGTACAAATTATCTCGGCTCGAGGGCATGTGAGACTGCAGCGCAACAAAGCTGGACTTGCTTAACATTTTGGGATTTGCTAGCCTGCCCACACATCACGCTCAGTGCTTAAACCATGCATATTGCGCAAATACTGTGTAGGACCAGCGGGGATGTGCTTGACAAGATCGTATCTCGACGCACTTGGGTATCTTTCAACGGAGCACGCGATTGAGAGTGTGCATACCTGAGCCAAAGTAAACGAAAGCAGAATGATCAGAAAGCAGTCAAACGAATTCGTACATTCGACGCTCGAACTGTTCAGTCCAAATGTCAGCATAAAATATCGCATCGAACACGCCCGCCCCACGCTTGAACGATGTTGCCCCGAGCGGTTCCCTTTCAGTCCACCGCAGAAGCCAGAATCCGTGTGACTTCCCCTTGGGGACATGAGAGAGGAGCTTCAAAAATTCAAATCAATGGTATTGGCTGACATACACCAGAAATCCATCACATTATGGTGGCGCGCTGCAGCCGAGTCGTTTGTTGGACCGGTATTCCAGCCGCAGCCACCAACGGCGTTCACTCCGGCGTCACCAATTCTTAATTTCTTCCGACCCTTGTGGATAGAATCACCTTGGCGGCCCCATTTGGCGCCAACTACGGGGGGACGAAGAGGGGGAAGAGTGGGAATGGGGTAAAGTTGGAGAAGACGAGGGGGCGGAATCATGACAATTCATTCCCTGATCTCAAGCTTCTGATAGAGCTAAACAACCGGTTGCCCTTACAATTCGCCAGCAAGCCGTACGTTCTGCATACCAAAGATGCACATGTAGTCAAGGGATGAGCGGGGAAGTGGTGGTCTCTTGTTCTAGGGCTAAGGGTACCTCGCTCGGGAGGACGCCAATGATCCGGACCATCCTACATGAAGTCATGTCTATGAGAATGCAGGCTTTGACCGCGTCTCTCCAATCAGTTGTGCCGCGGGTGGGAGATCTGGCGATATAATTAACCTCAACCTTTTCCGTCTGCTTCCCCCTCCACTTGGTAAAACATTTGGGCCCTCCGTTCTTGACTGACTTTGATCTGCTCTCGTGAGGCTTTGTTCTTCTAGTGGGCAACTACCTACATGTAATTACGGACAGCAGTGTGTTGATTGCACCCCTCTTGCCAAGACACCGAGAGCAAGCGTCTGCATGCCCAGCTACGCCTTCTGACGCTGGGCACTCTTGGCTACACATACCGTAGTAGGGTATAGCCTTTTTTCACTTTTCAGCCAAGACAATCTTGTCGAGAGATGATCCATTTGATCGTTCTTAGATTGGGCCTGGGGTGCACCAGCACG